GCGAAGAAGTAAGGTCTCTCCATGTCTTGTTTCGTGATAGTTGCTTATTTCGACACAGAACTTCATATCTAGCGCCACAATCCGCGAAGTATCTTCGCTTCGCCAAGACTTTGTGAACTCTTTGGTCGAGATTGGATTTATCCCTCGCGATTCAACGCCATCTACCCCAGCCCTTAATCGCGGCAGTGACAATATAAACCTTGTCAAGGGGGTGATGGTTGGAGGCTTGTGGCCTCGCGTTGCAAGAGTTCATCTGCCGAAGGATCGCATCAAATTCGACAAAGTCTCCGCTGGCACCATTCAGCGAGAGAATACCGCGAAGGAATTCAAGATGTACGATCTCCGAGATGGAAGAGTCTTTCTTCATCCAGGTAGTGTGTTATTTGGAGCGTCTGTTTGGAAAACGCCCGTCTTGTTCTATTTTCACAAATACATGACTAGCAAAGTTTTCCTTCGAGATGCTTCCGAGGTAAGCGTTCCCCAGTTCCTTCTGTGAATTAATCCTGATGCATTGTCACAGGTGCCATTGTATGGTCTTTTGTTGTTCGGAGGCAAAGTCACCGTGAACCATATTCAGGGTGGCCTCACCATTGGACATAAGGACAGCTTTATCAGGGTGAGAGCGATCACTCGTATCGGAGTCTTAGTCAATCAGCTGCGGTATGTGTTTCCATACACAGTCTTAAATATATGCACGTCGCTCATATGCTATCAGGCGTCTGCTGGACTCACAACTGCAGAAATGCATTGAAGAAGGAACGACAATCAACGCGGACTCTGGCAATCCCGTCGTAAACGCCATCATGGCTCTCCTTAGACATGACGGTCTAACAGAATAGTTGTAGAGTTCATAAGTATATCTATAATGAATGAGGTTGGTCCAATAACAAGAAATTCCTACGATCCGAACAGAAGAGTGATATGGTAGAAGAGAGCAAGAAGGCATTCATGGCGAACGACAATCAACGGGAGAAGATCGCCTTCTAGTGACCGAACGCCCTCGTTCAAGCTCTTGAATAGGACTTGGGCTCAGCGCTCCGTCCGACCCATCGCATCCCTCGGAGCATGGACTGTCGCTGGCGCTTGTTGAATCTGGCTGGGTAAACTCCTGCGGAATCATGTTTCTACGATGTTTGTGGCCCTTACGATGGTGGTGGCGGTGGTGGTGATGCGGGTGCTGCGATCCTGGTGATATGTATTGGCGTATGCGAGGTTCTGGAGCCAAAGAAGGACAGAGCCATAGTATGACAATGACACCCACACTCTACCAATCGAGGAAAGTCAGCCTCTGCTTCTGCCGCGGCCAAAGATATGCGAGAGTATAGTACCTCGAAGAAATGCAGCCCGGTCGTTATTCGTGCCAATAATCGAATAGCGATGTTCGGCGGGGGTTCTGCGACGATGATAGTCGACATTGGGGGGAATTGTAGAGTCTCTGAAAGGCCGACCATTGGAAAGGGGGTATTGGGGGTGGGTACAGACAGAAGTTGTTTCGAATTCCCAAGTTTTATTAGCAAGCCAGAGAGAGACACGCTACCGGCCCAGACAAGCGCTTCTCGATCATGTTACAGGCGGGCGGAGAGCCTGTCCGCTTTTAAACATGTGCGCCTGCGCCTTTTCCAACCAGTGTAGATTACAATTTTGTGTTTCTCGAGGGGCTAAACTATAACCCCCTGGTAAAAAGGTGAGTATTTCCAAGTTCTCGTTGCATCAGCGTTGCATCAGCGCCACATTCGCGCTCCAGGCAAGGACTACTACTATAAGGTCCAACACTTCCAAACAATGATAGCAAAGTGATAGTGGACCTATACCTGATAATCGTTCACTGTCCATGTACACTAGGTATCGGGCTGTTCGCCATTACTAGCTCAAATATAACACAAAAAAAGCCATGCCCTGATTTACTAAAATATTACCATGCTATGTACTACCAATTACTTTTGCACACTGGACATCAACTTAACCAACTCCTGTGAAGACGTAAATTTAATTCCCTTCTTACCCAACTCATCAAAAGTCGACTCCTGATCAGAAATGCTCCTTATCGCATCTCCAACCAACCACACCTTATACCCATACTCCACCGCATCCACCGCAGTCCACTTCACACAATAATCACCCGCCACCCCCACAAAATAAACATCCGTGACGCCCTTCCCCGCCAACAACCCCGGCAGGTCCGTCTCCTTCCTCCCCCAAATATCCCGGAAAGCAGAGTACGACTCGATCATGGCGTGGGTGCCTTTATCTATCACCGCGTCGAACGCGTCGGATTTCAAGCCCGGCACGAAGTCAGCCCCGTCCGTATCAACGACGCAGTGCACAGGCCACAGGACCTGCTTCATTCCCTTGGTCTTTCCTTTGTCTTCGGGGTGGTAGATCGTGGCCGTGCTGAGCACAGGCTTGTTGTGCGTGTCTGCGAAGGAGATGTGGTTGGCCGGGTGGAAATCCCGCGTTGCGATCTTCAGTGTGAATGGGAGGTTCATTAAGTGGTTTATGGGCGCGACGATGGAAGCGCCGTCTGGGACTGGGAGTGAGCCGGTGACGAAGTCGTTCTGCATGTCGATGACGACGAGCGCCGACACGGAGGTTGAGGTTGACGGGCGTTTATTGGCATCGTCTTTCGCCAATGTGGCTGGGTTGGTGCCTTGGGCGTGTGCAGTATATTCGGTTGCACTCATTTTTCCTTTGTCGAGATTGAAGTATCCTTGTCAAGGCCAATGATAACACGATTGGGCGCTTGTATTCATGGCATGATAGTGACTAGAATGTTAGACTTGAGAGACAAGATCTCATCAGTTGTGGTCACGTTACCCAATTATGGACGCGTCAGACTATTTATAGCCACGCGACCGTGAATGAAGCGTCGCGCAACAAAGATAGTGTGAAACTCTTGACATATTACATATTCAATGGTGGAAAAATTGCAACAATAGCATTGAGAAGGGATGGGTAGTGTCTGGTTATGTATGGTCATAATGATGTCGTATACAAGTACATTGCGATTTGATTGATGATGATGAAAGAAAAGTGATGGAACCCGAGTGGTATCACTCTAAGAATTACTATGCCATACGAATCTACGGGAGAAGGATGAGTTCCGAGCCGAAGAAGAAATTGAAAACATCATCGCTCACAAGATTATATAATTTAATAACAGCGATGCCGCAGTCCCTCAAGCATCAACAGATGATCTGATTGTCCAATCCTCACTCGCCGATCTGCGTTTGGGAACACCAGATCTCCTTGTAGGGTTCAGTGCAATTCTTCTGATCGTCGGTTCTCGTCCCCTCGATCGCTCGCCATCTTCACCGTCTGATGCTCGCGACGACTGCAACATTTCGTCTTCGAATTGGGGAAGGCCTTTCAGGTAGGTCGGGTAGCTTTTGTCCAATAGCACCGGCGGCGACGCGAAATATGGCGCGCCATATGGAGATGTCCGTGGTATGGGCGTTGATGTGCGACGTTGAGCCTTGCGAGACAGGAAGGTGGGAGACAATATCTCAGCAGCGACTGATGAAGCAAAAGTCGGCGTCGTGGGGGCGGGACTTGTGGCAGGCCTCGATGGAGACATGCGACGGGCAAAGGAAAACGCCGAAGGCGACGGCACCGCCGAATCCGACTCAACGTCTGGAGGGGTACGTGGGCGCGAACTAGACCAGACTGCCGCAAAACCACCACTAGCTCGTTTGGCTGATTTGTCAGAAATTGTAGTTTCTGAGAGAAAATGCCGTCAATGAAGCTGATTAATTCGTCCCGGGATATGACAAACCTGTACTAGCGATAGATTCCCGGTCGAATTGTGCATCGTTGTTGACATTACGGTTGGTTTTGGCATTGAAGCCTAACTTGAATTTCTGGAGTCGTGATGATGGCCTTACTAGCGAAGTCTGAGAGGAATGTCGAGAAGAGTCAGAAGCGGGAGCGAGCTCGTCTAAACAGTCACAGCCAGGTTGAGTCCCATTTGGAGGTGTTGGAGGTAAGCTCGGGGTAGATGAACGAGGGCTACCAGTGATTGAGCCGAGGATCACCTGGCATAAACTTTGTCCTTGCGTATTTGTCTGGGAAGGCTCCGGCATTGTATTACGTCTGATGATGGGGGCCGGAGGGGAGTCTACGAAATATACACGCCTTGATGGGACATGGTGGGCATCTTCATAGTGAGGACCAAGGATAGGCGTAAGATCAACCGGCGCAGAGGCGCGTCGAAAGGGTGTGGGCAATGGAGGCGTTACAGAATTTGGAGTCGACCGCCGAGGGTGTTTCAGCGGTGGTCGTGCTTTCTTAATTTCCGAAGGGAATTCAGCTGCGGCAGGTGCCGTTGGGGATGCTGGCAGAAGCCACCCAAACCATATTGCGAAAAGGCTCTGAAGAACAGAAGAACGCAAGAGCGTAAGAGCAAACTCTAGCGTTGATTCGCATGATAATACCCACCACTGCGAACCCCAGAGAACCGAGAGCGCGAGCGGATATGAAGATGAGGATGGAAGCATTGCCTTTTCCAGTGGCATTGACGTCGTTCAGAGCAAGGTATTTGGGATCGGCGGCAGATTCGTCGGTGGCTTTCGGAGGCATGCTCAGAGAAGTCGATGGAAAGTAGTGCTGGAAAGCCACATAGAAGGCAGGCATGATCAGAGGAGGATGCGAAGCGAGGAATTAAAGGCCAGCATGGGTGAATAAGTAGCAGACGGGGCGAGAGAGAGATGGCATGTTTTAGAACAACAAATGTCGCGTGAAATGGATTATTGCTGTTGTCTATATCAATATGGGCGCGTTCCCAATGTCAGCCCACTTTACTTTTTCTTTATTCGCGTAAGCAACCTCAGGTAAGCTTCCCTCGATCGAGCACACATGGCCTTTCATAGCCTTTCATTTCCTCGATCAACTACCCGGATTAGCCGAAATCAACGCCCTCACCAAATCTACAACGTGACATATTCAGAAATGGTGCGATAAGAAGCAGGATTTGAGCCTAGCCCTTAACAAAATAAAAAAAAGATCTCTCTGTCTGGGAGTCGAACCCAGCTTTCGCGCGGTCAAGAATCTGGCTTTGCATTTTATGACAGGCGCGTGTACTAACCGATATACTAACAGAGATTGTGAAATGGCGACGTATGTGTTCATCAGAACCTTTTGGGAGTGTCCAAAATTCGCAACAGCACGACAAGTCAAAATCAAGGTCCCCATAGATCACTTTTCAGGCAGTATAGAACTTTCCAAGATTTGTACTTCATTTCATCAGGCCATGTCCATCATGTCCTTGAAGCCCGATTCCATCACATCACCCGCTACTAAATTATCCCTCAGCGCCCTGTTTTGCCTCAACCACCCCTCTGACACCCCCAACAGTATCTGCGCCTCCATCACTCCCACCCACAACGGCCTGCAGGACCGTCGCCAACCCCGTCTGCTCAGGTTCCACCCCCGAGTCATCCGTCCGTGCGCGCATTGGAGGCTCCAGGATGTCCGGGCCTGTGGAAGTATTGGTGGGTACGATCCATTCCATCTCGATCTCTACGTCGATGATACCGCTGCCGATCCCGAGTGGGAAGTCGACGTCCTTACGCGTTAAAAGGAATTTGGACTTCATATTCTCTGGGCTGGGTGGTGTGCCAGAGGAAGGTGGTGGTTGGGGCATGTGGAATGTAGGTATGGACCAAAGCCAGCCCATGAAGACCTGTGTATATGTTCAGTCGTTGTTTTCCATGGCAAGCGCAAAGCATAGATCAACCCACTTGGCCCATATAAAGCTTCACCCTAAGCTCTCTCCCTGCATCCAGGACTATACCTTGTTCCAAAGCATCCAGTTTCGTGCTCGCATGAGCAGTTGACACGTCGTACATCGAGTTTGACTCGGATTTCGGTATACCAGCTGCCTCTGCGTTACTGCTAATTGCGTTTGGATGTTGCTGGTCAGCAGCGACGGATTGCAAGTCGCGCTGGAGCCCTGCCCATCGCTTATCGCTCAACGGACGCAGGTTATATACATGGGTTTTACCATCCTGAAATTTGACGCGTGTATCTTGATGAGATTCTGCATTCCGTCTCTGAGATATTTTATGAGAGGACAAACCTTATCTTCTACCACCTTCTCTCCCTCAGCATCCACAACTCCCAACCGCGCGAAACTGCGGACCATCTTTCCTTTATCCCACTTGCCCCCATCAAACACCCTCGCCAGCTCTTCCTCCTCCGAGCTTTCACGCAGAAGATGCTCAGACCCACGACGTCTATTCCCCATCCTCCCTTGTGGGTCGCGCGTCTGCACCTCCCATTCTTCAAGGGCATCCACAAGACCGTCGTCGTATCGCGCTAAGGATGCCCAAAGTTGGTTCGGCGACGATGCTGGCTTTTCTTTCTCTTTACGTGCCGTGTTATGATCGGCATAGCCGGAGGACGAACTAGAGGACGAACCGGAGGATGGGCTCGCATTCTTAGGAGGCGCCTTCGCCATGCTTGTCTTCTCGATGAAAACGTTGGCTGCTTTCACGATGTTCAACTTCACACTCGACGTCTCGCGCATGCGCAACGTCAATTGAGTGAGGCGGACTTTGGGGTGTGGGGCGGTACTTCTTCTGAACGCTACTTCGGACGCGTTTGCACTCCCGACTGTAGGTGGAAGATCTGCGGCCCACATGTGCTTTGGAGCCTCGTGTGCAAGGAGCAAAGCCCAATAATACAAGAATCGACGTTGGCTGGGGATACTCACACCTTGCTTGACTTTAGACTCCTTGGCGTCGTTGCCTTCTTCCTTGGAATCCTTTTCTGAAGGTGCTTTCATGCGACGCCCTGTGTGTAGGTCGAGAACGCCTTTCAATGCGTCCGTAAACGATTTCTCCGGGTTGGCAGAGCTGGGAGGTGACGCCATGGTCGGGCTGACGGCCATTCCAGATTGAGAAAAACCTTTGTCGCCATCGAGAATTCCAGAAGTGTCCGAGGACAATGGTGATGCTTGGTTTTCGAGCAGCTGAGACAGTGGAGTTTGATGATGGGTGGATGTCGTAGCATTTGCTGAATGCTGAAGTTCCTCGTCAGGAGGGAGAGAATCAATAGTTGACTCGGTCCGGCGTTTCGCCCACTGTTTAGCATTGTAGCTTCGTTCTAGCTTGGGTGGGGTAGGTAGATCCTCCAAGGAGAGGAGATAGCTGCACGCCATCGTTCCTGAGCGACCTTTCCCAGCTAGCGTAGAATATATGAGAATAGGGAGTGTCAGCAGTTGTAATTGGAAAATAACCTTTGCAGTGGAGCACGGCAACGCGATCTGGAGATCCTGATAACCAGGCGCGCATTTCTCGAGCAACGAGAGGCATGACGGCCAGAGGTGGTGCACTATTCATGCCATTTAGTACCTCCACCAGTAAATGACAACCCATGTACGCACTGATGATCAGGAAACGGGTATCGACTGACTCTACCACCAAAGAGCGACGCTTCATAAGAGTTCTCCTTGATTGGACAAAAGTTGAAGACCCAATAATTCTTCCCGTGCCTATGCTCCAGAAACTTTATCGCGTCTTCCTTGCGATTGCGGTATAGACCCTCGATGCCTGAGGCTGGGTACCCCATGATGATGACCTGGTCAGTAACATATACAAGATCTGGTTGGGATATCAGTCACTGCGCCATGCAAAGAGTGAATGCAAGAGACCGAGCTCGACATTGAGATGATGGTCTTTGAAACGAGCTTTATTGCCAGAGACGATGCGGCGAATATAGTCTGTCATTGTTGTTGGTTAGTCCAAGAAGTGATTTGTGGTTCACAGATTACAGCAGTGCGTCATCGACCCATGTATTGATCGATGATCACTGACATCAATACATCACTGAGATGCTGTGCACTGGCGCGTCGGGTATGTCGGCAACGCGTCTACGAAACATCTACGACGAGAGATGCAGGTCCGACATCGTTCTTATTTCTTCTGTTACAAAAGTAGACCTCGACTTTTTGAAAATACAACATCATAATCATTACGTCGTCAGCGGCCCTCTTTCCCTTCATTGTCAGAAGGTTTTCGTAAACAGTGGAAGCAAGGAACCCGAGCCTCTACGGTAGCTCCGTGAAAATGTAGGCACGGACGTCATGCGACGCGATGCTTCCGTCAAAGAAGAAGTTGCTGACATCACCCTTGTCCTCGTGCTTCCATAAATCTCTCACAGCGTATCTCTTGTTGCCGTTCAGATGGGGCGAATGGGAGAGGGTGAAGTTCAGGTCGACGGTCCGGTCATTGAAGTTGATGTACATGATTGCCGTGTGTTGCTGGTCTTTGTAATAGCCACTGTGATATCGGTCGGCAGTTAGCATTCGGAGTGGCAGAAACATATGATAACTTGTAACTAACCTCCAGTATTGTGCGGGGAATGACCTGTTTGATAGGCGAGAAGTTAGGGCCGCCACAAGGCTTATAGAGCGTCTAGATCGACTCACGGATCCCATGTATGGTCTGGATTCTTGCCCCAGAAGAATGGCTTCAATGGCTCGCCAATAACGGTGTCCTGATTAATCGCGATAATCTCAGAGTTGGTGAGTATCGCAAGTGACTCTGCAGACAATGCGGAAATCTGCGCAGAGGCGAAGAAAACAGGTCAGATGGCACGGTCCACACCAGGAAGAAGGGTCGGCTCACGTCAGTTCCGATAAGAAGGGGTGACTTAGCGAGAGCCCATGCGGTGAAGTGACTTCTTTGTTCAGCTAGTGTCAATGCTCCGTTCCCATTTTCAAGCATATCTGGAAACAAACATTAGAATGACACGTGAGGTATCAAGTTGAATAGATATAATACCGAGGTCATTGTGCCCCCAGAAGTTGGAGAAATCGCCGATGAATGAAGCGTTATTGAGGATTCCAGTAATTCGAGGCCAGTTCGCCTCGATATCGTCGTACACTAGGAAAGGATGAAAAAGAAAAGTTAGATTCAAGAATTGGGAGCATGTAAAAGACGGACTTCTCCACGAATTGGCAATGCTGTTACCCCAGACCCAAGCATCGAAGCTCTGCCATTCCACGAAGGAGTAGAACATCATCTTTCCAGTCTCCCTCTGCACTTGAATTAGTGCGTCCGTCCAACGCCTGAAGCGAGCTTCGTCAGTGCCGACGAAGTTGCTATTGCAGTTATCGATCTACAACCAACGAATAAGTGGATTAGAGTCTCGTTGTGCACTTCACGAGCGTATGATGTTACCTTGACGTATTCAAAACCTGCAGTGGAACACAATCAGTCCACGCACCATGAAGTGGGGGAAATCACTCACCCCAATCCACGAAGTCGCGCGCATCAGTAAGTTCATGATTGAGACTCCCAGCGAAACCAGCGCACTATTTAAGATATGGTTAACGAGTATCCCGCTTTAGTGCTCCTCTAAAGGCTTACAGTCGTTGTTCCTTGATCTTGCTGGAGCAGGTTTAGACTTTCTCCGTCGTCACAAAATAACACTCACGTATATCTGAAAAATAAACGACAGTCAGTCATATCTCATGTGAAGGCTGGGAAATTGTAACACCCACCCCAGCTTTGAAACCGAGTCCGTGCAAGAAATCCGTCAGGGCCTTCATCCCACCTGTTCGCAAAGTTACCATCTGCATACACCTCACGCAAAGTGGAATTCCGTATACTCACTTGGGAATTTGACAGGATCAGGAACAAGATGTCCTGACGAACTGCGCTGGGTAGTAAGCCAGCAATCATCGATGTTGATGAAGTTGTATCCCGCTGCGAGAAGTCCCAGCTGCTTCATCTGAGTTGCGGTGTTGCGGATGAGCGTCTCATTAATACTGCATGCGAAGCGGTTCCATCTACACGCATAAAAATACCGGTAAGCGTGCTGTGCTTGCCCAATTTTCGTCACCTACGTGTTGAACCCCATGGCAGGAGTTTTCTGAACGCCATTGTTCCAAGCCAACTGTTGAAATGATCAGATTCACGTCTTGTGTGAATGTGTGAATCTTACTGCGCCTGGGACAACGATGGTGGCCAACTGTATGACATTCACCAAGGTTGGAAAAAGTCGTGTCATCGTGCCGTATAATTTTCTAGGATCCAAAGTAGTCGTTTTCCGTCTAGATTAGCAAGCAGGACTATGTATCACTTTATAGAATATTG